ATGCCAGGGAATGCAGAGAAAGAGATTGATGTTACAGGAAAATATTACACAAAAGGTAGCATATGTGTTCCATTTATGACATAAAAACACATGAATGTTATCGATAAAAGTCAAGAGGAAAATAGGAAGCAATGCAGTAGTTGACCTAACCCTCACTGACTTGCTCAGACTCATTAAACTTGCAGAATTCTTTCTTGGTAAATATTAAGTCTTTCCACGTATGTACATTTAAGACAGGCTTAAAATGAGTTCCTGAGAACATGGATGCTCAAGAGGAATAAACAGGAGTTGTTGATGGAAATCTTCACTTGCATTTTTCCTGCCTTAAATGCCTGAAATACCTTGGGTATAATGTTGCATGAATAAGGCAGTCAGTGTTTAATGTAAAATGACTTAAACATTCTCTTGTTGCTAAAGCCTATAAGGCATTTGCATTTAATGGCTGTTACTTTTCATTTTTATCTACCATGTTTACAAAGGAAGAAATATACTGAGTCTGCTGCTCAACTCTTTTTTGTCACCTGACAATAAATTTCTCTCTTCTTCTGTCAGCCCTCTTGGAAAGGGGCACTCGGCGGTCCGTCCTAACCACAGTGCTTTGCATACCGGCCTCTCAACCTATTTCTCACTGTGTCTTTTGGTCTTTCTATCAGTCTGCTGAACCAGATATTATTCCTGTAGTCATCAGAGTTGCTGAAACTGAGATACTGTTACAGCTACATCTTCCTTGATATGTGCAGCTACAAAGAGCAAAACCTCATAGCAACACTGTAAGTGGAATCTCAGGCTTCAATCAGGAAAACACAGCTTTGTATTACTTTGAAGTTAATGAAACCACCGTGATAAACCTGGTCTGCCTAGGCCTTCTAGGGCTACAGTTAAGGACACAAACTCACCCTGGTCCCAGCTGTGATTCAGCACCAGGCACTGTCCATGGCAGTTTAAGATCCAGTGGGAAAAATGCCAGCATTGACTAGGACAAACGGTTCTCCTCAGTAGTCAAGACTGACTCATTTCCTCCAGAGAGATTGAGGGCGATCAGAGAGATTGAACTGGGAGAACACTGGGGCATGGAGACCCCAATCCCAAAGATACAGTTGGCTACCATGTCCTTAACTAGCTACCCCTCCTCCTCTTCCCCCATTGGAGGCAAAAACTTTACCAGCCACTTGACTGAGAATGGGAGTTGTATGGATTATGGACACATTTCCAAAGGCATTCTATCTACATCATGGAGTTTTAACTGTAAAAGGAGTGATCAAAATATGCGGTGAAGGTTTAAATTTTTTAAAATTTATCACAGTAAAAGACACATTACTATGAATACCATTCACTTCAAATATACTTATCCCACTGTTTTTACTGCTTGCTAAAGCAGTTCTGTAAGCCCTCTTTCATGAGTGTTTGTACAAAGTATGTTTAAAAAAAATACCGTGAATGCTGCTGCCTAGTGTCATCCAACAGAAAAGCAGGCTCATAGGAATGTTACAGTGTGGCCTCATTCACCTTGTTTACTGGATCTCCCCAGTGCATCTTCTGGATCTTCCCCAAAGTCAAAATAACCATGAAGGGTAAATATTTTTAATTGATTTAGGATATCGAGGCATCCAGGGCAGCACAACTAAAGACACTCATGAAAGAGTACTTCCAGAACTGCTCCAGAAAATGGCAAGAATGGTCAGATAACTGTGTCCAAAGAAAGGGAAGTATTTTGAAGGGGATTCTTGGCAATGAGTCTTTTATTGTGATAAATATTAATTTAAATATTCACCATGTTTTTATCACACCTATGTGTGGCATCAGAAAGAGAAGACAGATCTTGTGATTCCCAGGGCAAGGCACATTCCGTGCTTTGATAGCATGCTCAGAATCCCATCCCTGCACTATTACTTACAGCTACAGAAGGAATTAAACATAGCTCCCTATGCCTGCGGAGGTCTTGACCACGTCCTTCAATGTGGCCAATGGCACAAGCAGAAACCTGGCTCCAAGCCTCCAGTCACCATTGCACAGATGGCAGAGGAAAGGGTGAGGGAATGGGGTGGGCCAGGAGTATACCTTTCACTTCTCTTCTAAAAGGTTGTACAGGTGACTGACAGCACAGCACATGAATTCTGCTGACATCTCACAACCCTCCTGCTTCCTCATGGTCTCCGCTTAGCACAGCTTATAAGTTTCATCCATCCTGTTTGTCTTTCTTGTCCTCCCTAGCAGAACTGAATATCCTCGGATCCTATAGCAAACACACATTATAAGCAGAAAGATGGCAGGGGGTAGGTAAGAGATAAAAGGCAAAGGAAATTTTTGTTCATAGTGGCAGAAAAATTAAAAACCAGAACGGAGAATAGTAGTAGAGCCATGGTAATGCTGGAGTTTTGAGAAAGAAGTGATGGATGCCAGCCACAAGGGGATGACAAAGTACCAGCCTTTGGAACTCCAGGGTCCTCTGAGACGCAGCGAGTTTACTTTCCGTTCCTTTGAAGGATAAATCTTCTGAATGCAGGTGTCTCCAGGGAGCCATCCTTCCTGCCACTCCTCCTGACCCCACCAAGCTGGAAGCCACACATGGGATAAGAACAGGATGGGAATCTTGGGTTTGGCATTTGAAAGGAAGAGGCACCTGAGGAAGGAGGAAGAGAGGAAGCCAGAGATCTATGGAAAATACATACGACACCATAGGCTAATGGCTGTGTTTTAATTCATTTGTTTGTCATTTGTCTTAGGTTAACAAGTAAATCGACATAGTGGAGCTTTATATCTCAGCCCTCTGAATAACAACTACAAGCAAATTATTCAATTCAGGTCTCATATTAGCTTCCTAATGTGCCCTAAACAAGTAGCAGCTGGAAATAACAGAAACGTATCATCTCAGAGTTCTACAAGCATGAATCCAAGATCAAGAAATCAGCAATGTTGGCTCCTCCCAAGGGGTTTAAGGAGACCCTGGTCCATATTTCTCATCTAGCTCCTGATACTGCTGGTCCTTCTTGGCATTCCTTGAGGCACTGACCACACACATGCCTCCTTTATCATATAGACTTCCCCTGTGTGTTTGTTTCTGTATCTCTTCCTTTTCTCCTTGTAAAGACCAGTCTTTGGGTTAGGGATGCACCCTATTCTAATGTGACCTCGTCTTAACTAATTACATATGCACTTGCCTGTCTTCAAGTAAGATCACACTCTGGTGTACTAGGGGTTAGGACATCAACATATCTTTTGGGAGTGACAAAATTCAACTCTTTCGCAGTCTACAATTGAGAAATGAAATTGTTTTGACTTTTCATTCTCTAAGACTCTAATGGGAAGATTACTTGAGTTTTCTCCAGGTGTAAAGACCTAGGACAGATTTTATATGCACTGGGTACTGTGATGCTCTTAACAGTGACCATTCCATGATGGTCACGTCTTTGGGGAAGGTGACAAGAGACTTTCATTTCTACACTGTAAATTACTATGATGTTTGAATTTTTATGGCTGACATATACTATTTTTAATCAGAAAAAACAATGCATAGATTTCAAAGGCCTAATAAAAGATATGTACATGTTGCTTTTTTTCCCCTCAGTGTCAGATTTTCTGTAAAAGACAGGAGCAGAATCATCACAGGGGAGGAAGAGAGGTAGAAACAGGAGCCTGTGAACTGTTTTAAGGCACTAACTTTAATTCACTGCAAACTTCAGAATAGTGTTAAAGAGGGCTCAAGATTTTCATGTTCATCCAAAGAAAGCATGCAACTCTTATGTGGAGAAACACAGAGTCCTCCTGCAGCCACTCACCAAGGTTTCCTCTCAGCCAAGGCAAAAAGGGAATGCTGGCTTTTAGGGTTTTAACCAAAGTGGAATTCCCAGGTAAAATTTTGGACACCCAGTTAAATTTGAATTTCCGATCAGCAACAAATAAAAAAGTTTAGTATACTTATGCATAAAACATGCAAATGCTAAAAATTATTCCTTGTTTTCCCTAAAATCCAAATTTAACAGAACAGCCTAAATTTTTATTTGCAAAGTCTAGCGACCCTGTCCAAAACACACCAGCTTAGGTAAGCTATCTCTAGAAATTAGATCACAGAGGGGACTCGTTCCCAGAAGCCACATATAAAAGGAACAGGAAGAGGTCCTAGCCGACCATATTTTTCTTCTGTGATTTTGCACCGGCCACAGAAATGCAGTTCCAATGAATTCCATTGTTGTTAACACTTCCCAAAGGCCTCCATCTCCAAAGACCATAGTAGATTAAGTTTCTGACCTCTTAAGACCTCCTAGTGAAGATTAAACTCCAGTGGAAGTTGCAGGGGGACCAAATTATATTCAAGACATAGAGGTGTCTGTGAACCCCCTGCAACCACGGTCTGTCCTGAGTACACATGCGTCTTTGAGGGGGAAAAGGAACCATATTCAATCCTCAGAAATGTCTGCAACCTCCCAGAAGGCCAGGGGCACCACCTTATTGATGAAGGGTGTAGATCTGAACCCTGAAGGAGCATTTTTGTGGAGGCTTGGGTATTATATTTCAGGGTAATTACTTTTATGGCAATCAACTTTCTGACCATCTAAACTGAAAAATGACGAAACTCTCACTCTCAGATGTGTGAACTGCCACGTATCCCTCCTGCTTTACAAGAGCGGAATGGGGTTCACAGGAGGTGCCGCATGTTGGGAATCCTCTGGTGAAGGTCAAAGTTTAGCCGTGTGCTTTAAACACCAGAGGCTCTTAAAGAAAGAGAGGCAGAGCTGGGTGTGATGGCTCAGCCTATGAACTCATCACTCTGGCTAGCTGAGGCAGGAGGATCACAAGTTCCAGCCCAGCGTGGGTTACATAGTGACTTGGTTAGACACTATCTCAAAATAAAAATGGCGAAAGCCCTGGGTTTGATCCCCAGGACCTCTAAGAGAGAGAGAAAAGAGTCAAAGAACAAGCTTTGGTCATGGACACTCTCATTGCCTGTATAAAACAAGTGACCACTTTGATCATGACGCTTTGCTTTTCTTTTCTCTCTCTAGAATTCTTTCTCCAATTTGCCAACAGCTCTTACTGATGAGTTTGACTGGCCCCAGCTCTCCGGTGCTACAGGATTTCTGGACTCCACCAGTGGGTATGTGTGCACAGCCTTAAACACTTCTGTGTGTTTGTGTGACTGCTGGTGCAAGAGCTATTAGGAATTGTTCAAGAACATGAGTGACACACAAGAGGATGGACCCCTGCCATCATGTGGTGTGATGTCAGTCACCTTTTATTTTTCTCAGTGCTGATGAAAAGGTAAAGTTCCTGCTGCAGGTGGGAAGAAGGGTTTTTGTTTACATGAAAAATATTCACCTTTTTCTGATTCCAGAAATAAGGAAGTTTACTTGATTTTTTTACTCTCAGAAAATGAATATTTACAAAGGTCATGGCTCAAATTAGTTGGCAAGTCTCTGGGCCCTGGACCTGGCTTTAAGGCTATGAATCTATAAAAGGAAGCCGCACAGTGGGAGTGGACCTGCTGTGTGCCGGGAGGTGTTTACTTGGGGCCCCGGCTCTGATTTCCAGGGCCTATACCTGGGATGCTGGTGAGATTTCCAAGCATCCCTATGGGTAGAAAGCCAAAAACAGCAGAGGGAACACCTTTCCCAACATCCCCTAAATAGTTAAAAGTTAATGACCACAAGGAATATGACAGACAAATGCTTCGTTGTATCAAAAAGGAGAAAGAAATTTGCTATTAGGTCTAATACCAGGCCACAGCCAGCCCTCTCTCAGAGCAGCGACACCAGAAAGCCAAAAATTGCCAGGATATGAGCCATGGAAATCACAGGTAGGGCGAATAGGAAAGGGGCCTGACTTACCCAGATCTGTAAAAGCCAGAACGCCCAAGGGACGGGTGTCTATAGATACTACAACACACAGTGGTCTTGTTTAACAAAGGACACTGCCTTCCATGACTAATTTATTTGATTATTATCTTTATTCACTCACTTTACTTATTAAATCCTTATCACCTAATCGGCCACAGAGGCGATAGGGGTTTCCAAAGTGGATAATGCTTATTGTCTCTGCAGTCAATTACAATAAGTACAGTAGCTGAGACAGATGTCCCAACAATGATAACCCAAGGTTAGCGTGTCAAAGAGGCCTCACAGGGAGCCCCAGGATTCTGGGGAGAAGTGTTTGATGCGATAATCAGCAGCCACCTCCTTTGGGGGTGTAAACCAAGGGGTCCAAACGCCAAAGGACTAAGATTGGAGTGATGAAAAGAATAGAGAAGAGGCATGCGTGGTAGTGGACACCTGTGACCCCAGCACTGGGGAGGCTGAGGCAGGATTGCTATGAGTGTAAGGCCAGCCTGGGCTACATAGTGAGTTCAAGGCTAGTCTGAACTACATAGTGAGACCCTGTGATAGCCACTGTGTGGAGTGTTACGTAGAGATTATCTCACTTAATCTATTTGCAAGGTAAGTGGTAGTGTTTTCTCCGTTTTGTAACTGAGGAGTCTGGCATTGAAGTAGACAGATGAAGAAATGTGCCCAAGGCCACACAGCTATTAATAAGTGGCAGGACCCACTCTCATGGAACCTGGTGACATTGTAACGAGCAAAGTGACTTGGTGGGAGGGACCTCCTGCCATAACCCCTAACCTTCATGCACTGTTTGTACCCTGTGTGCAGGAGTGGCTCCCTCTAGCCATTATCCCTTTGTTTGAGCTCATAACCATGGATGACAAATGACTAAGGACCCAAGCAGCTATGATCTGTAAAAATATCTGGAAATTTCTCTCAATCAAGACCTTTATGATCATAACAGAAAGAATCAAGTATGAGTGTGACCTTTTAATGGAAGCTTAAATTTATGTATGAGTCCTACAGAGCCCAGACACCTTTTGCTATAAAGGAAACACCACTCAGATATTTATCATTAATTGTTGACTACTTTGCATCTTCACTAGAGTCATTCAAAGAAAACCCCTCTCCATGCCCAGCAAATCTGGTAGAAACTTTGTTTCCTTATCTCTTGGTAGGGCCAACTCGAAACTTCTCTGTCTCTGTTAAATAGAATTTTCCCCAAAACTCTGCCTCAACTTAGCTCCTGCCCCCAGTTAGACTATGTTTAGTGGTTTGAGTCTTTATGGAGGGCAGCAAGGACAGTCAACTCCCCTTTTTTCTTTTTTTTTTCTTTTTGGTACCGGGAATCGAACTTCCCTTTTTCTTATGTACGTGCTCTGTCCTGACACTAGGGCTTGTGCCCTCATTGGTGGAGAACTCTTCAAGCCCTCCATCCCTGCAACAGTGTCCACCCATCACCCTTCTTGGAGCCCAGCAGACCACCCTCCTCTCTGCCTGGAGGTCCATTGTTAGGGCACTGGCATCTCATGTGGTCTGTTGGCTGTATCCTCACAGGGCAGAGGGCATCATGAGACTTGACCGAGGCAGCCTAATAGCTCAGATTTCTCTTCCTCTTCTTATAAAACCCACTGAATCTCATCATGGCCTCATCTAATATTAACCACCTCCCAAGTGCCCCACCCCAAGTGCCACCCACATATAAATGGGGATCCCATTTTCAACTCATGAACTTTTGGAAGGGCATATTCATACCATCTTACTAAGAAATAGCCATCTGGGTGTGGCTTAGGTGAAAATCCTCTGTGTCATTGACTTAGCACCTTTTTGTATTAATCTCTATGCTCTATTTACAAAAAATTCAGTCCACTCATCCAACTGCTCAGAGTGAACTCTAGGTATTGCCTTATCTGTGGTACCTCTAAGCTGTGGAGCTGATTACAGCTGGTCATTCACCTACCTGCAACTCCTCTCTACAAGCTATTTTATCACCAATAGTTTTTATTATTTCCTATGTCTGTACTCTCTGCCACTTGGTTGGCTGGAATGGGAAAGACTATATCTAACTCTTCTTGTTTTGGGGGGTACTGGGGATCGAACTTGGGTCCTTGAGCTTGCAAGGCAGGCGGCAGAACCACTAACCTAACTCTTCTTTATACAAAAGAAAAAAGAAAAATTCTTTACTTGGAACCTGAATTGCAATGGGTCTCCTCATTAGGCAGAAACCAAGGCAGCATGACATGTCCTAGACATCACTACTCAGTATGTGCCGCATAGCAGTCATTACTGCTAAGCCATCCCATCGTGTGGATTCTACCTGCAGAGACTCTAGGCTAGAATGAGGAATAAAAATTATAAGGTGTACAAAAACATTAGAGAGAGAGACTAGCACATATAAAGGTTTTCAACTTGTGGGATCAGGAAAATGAAAATAACTTTGGCCCAGGAGCAGCACTGTGTCCTCAGGCACAGCCTACAAAAGACAGGTTGGGCAGATGTCCCTTGAGTACAGATGCTTCTCAACATGGGACAGAATTGACAGATTTCTCTACTCACCTGGATCTGTAGAACCTCCTTCCTGTACCCTGTGATCGGCCTCACCACCTGGGTGTGAACAGTGTTCTTTGGAAGACACATCTCATGAGAGCACAAAGATGCCATTTGGAAGAGAAGATGGTCCCTTTGCTCTCCTTCCTTTATAACCTTCACCCACTCAAAAATGTAGTATTTTCTCCTCGGGATGAAAATAACTGTCACTAAAATTAGATGCATGTATTAAAAGATGCATGAGGCCCCTTGGTTTTAAAACAAATCTGGAGTTCCTTTAGTTAAGCAGACATTATCAAAATCTTTTGATTTTTCAACTTCAGAGAACTGAACAATGATATCCCTTAAAACACATGGTTTTGTTTTTTCCAGTGAGATTCAAGAAGAAATTGAGTAGGTAAAAAATGGAGAAAAAAAATCTCCATAGGGGTCTAGAGCTCGACAATAGAGAGGAATACTGAGACTGTACGTGGGAAGAAAAAAGCATTTTTAAAAGATTGAAAATCTTAGTACTTCAAGTTCAGATCAATTTCAAAGGCATTTCGTATGACAGGAAAATGCACTGGAGCTAAAGTGGCTGAGGTCCAGTAACATTGGTATAAGGATGGAAATATACTAAAACTTCAACAAGAAGGGAGGGGCTTCTCATCAAAAGCTATATCTGAAACTCCAGCGCTCTTGCCATGAAGGGGAAGTCTGTACTTACATCACAAGAATGCTCTGTGCTCTGAGCTCTGTGTGGTCCCCAGGTGGGACACTTGGTAGCCCTTGATCTTGTTGATATGATGAAGTTGAGTTGGACCAAGTGATTTCTGAAGTTTTCTCCAATGTTCAAGTATAATGGGTATATGTGTTACCATGGAGAGTCCCCATAGGGCTTCTTTTCAGGTTCTCAGTGCTCCAAACAGAGAATTAGACTAGACACACAGAGAAAGCAGTGGAAGTGTACATTTACTGAGGGCAGGAAAGAAGTACACTCTACAGGGCAAGAGGGAGACAGGAAATAGACTCATTGCAACCCCCAGGAGAAAAGAATGGAGTATTTTGTAACCAAAATTCCTAGGTTATTTTTTTTCATGCAAATAAGGCATTGGGAAAATCATCCTATCAGTCATTTGGCATCATGCCATATATAAACTGTCCTATCAAAAAACTCATTAGGCTTCCCATCACATGTAAACAAAGGATCAAAAATATAGTCTGTTTAAATAGTTGTGCCCATATGGAAAGGAAGGACTGAAAACAACATCTCACTGGTCCTGTGCACAGCACCAGATTCACATGAAGGACTGAAAAGATCAAGTTTCTGATTGGCCCAAAATCACACTTTTCTGATTGGTTCTGTGAACAGTAATGATGGCATCATGGTGCTGGGAGTGTCACTCACTCAGTTGCCATCTTACAGGGAGACATAATCTTACATGATGGAGCCATTTGGTTTAGCAGCATTAGAGAAATTATTGTGTCTCCTCACCAAACATACCTTTCTCCATCCCTAAACTGGCCTGTCTTTTGAAATAGGACTTGGCTTAATTTTAAGTGTCAAAACCTTTTATGGTTTGAACCTCAAGCATTCCTCAAAAGTCTTGGGTATTCACAGGTGGGGCTTTCAGAAAATGATTGGATCATAAGAGCCCTAACTTCTTCAGTGGCTTAATACACTGATGAGGTCATAATTTGGTGGCCTTGAAAGGAGGTGATGGAAACAGGAGGTAAGGCCTAGTTAAAGGGA